AAAAAAAAAGGAATACTTGCCTTTCAAGGAGGGATCAGTAACAGAGTCCTCATCGACAGCTTTTGGAAGACAAAAGGAGATCACAGAGAATCGTTTTACCCCTTTGTTCCATGATTTTCCCCATGCAGAGAGGAGAGGAGTAAAGAAAAAGTGAAGCACAAACAAGTTCGATTCTAACCTTCTTCTGATTGACTCGAGGTGCGTTGGCTTGCGGCCTCCCTCTCTCTCTCACGGCGGGCGGTGCGCTGCTTCTCCTCCAGCCGCTGCTTCTCGGCATTGGCCTCGTCCCAGCGACCTTCCTCCATTAAGCGCTGGTCAGGCCGGCGTCGGCTGTCCGTGGGAGCCACGCCCTCCTCAGGCTCGTTCAGGGTCAAGGCCAAGGCAGTAAAGTAGTACATGGTTTCTGCTCCATCGCTGAGGAGGATGACGGAGCACAGCACAGCAGCGCTTTCAGTCACACAAAACTACACCCTGATACTGGTACTGATGCCATCCATGTTTAGGTCTAATGTTTATTTCTGCTTCAGAAAGCTGTGTGCGCACCTCTAAATCGTAACTAATGCATTATGGCCCGGTTTTACTTTTTAAAACAGCACTTACGGTAAAGGGTTTCTTCTCCACAACTCTCTGGCTTTAAGGGTCTGATAGACCGTCTTCTGTTTGCCCTCAGTGCCGTTCTCGCCTCCTCGGCTGCTCTGCATCACCTTGGAGAACTCCATCTTCTCGTCCCATGTGCCCGACAGCACGTAGTGCGCCTTTCCATCTTTATCCATTACCACACCTGTAACCTAAAAACAGAAGGGAGGGGAGGTTACCACAGAGAGCCAACGGAAGAGTAGAGCATCATGATCCATCGAGCACAAGCACAAATTTTACAACAGCAGTTTGGTTAAAATCATAACACACCGTAAGATGTTTTATTTTCCTGCTAAAGGGGTTTTTTTGTCAGAAGGAAGCAAAAAAGGAGACTGTAAAAGCAGCTAACACAATCAAATAATGTCATAAAGGCAAAGAAAAGCCTGTATATTAAAATTTGTCTGTTGGTTCAAACTTGATGCACCTACTGTGTGTGAGTTTTCTTTCAAAGCAAGTCAGAGAAAAAGAGACTAAATCTATTCAGGTCTTCTGCATCTTTCTCACCTTTCTGGCTACATCCCTGGAGAAGTAGCTGTAAGGAGCAAACTTTAAGTGGCAGCGGTCTCCGGTGGTGTGGTTTACTACGTCTATCTCACCAGACTGGAAGGGAAACACAGGGATACACAGTGAGGAGGGAAAAATCACAAGTGGGGATGATATCGACTACATAAAAATTTTACGTCACACTCAAGTTAAAATGCTGCAACGCAATGCTCTTACTCTACTTTTTATCTGTAGAGTAAAAATTAGAACTGGAAGCAAAGAAATAGGGTATTTTAATGCTATGTGATGGCAACCGGCCATGGCAAATTCATTTATATAGCACATTTCATTACATGTGAACTCTTTGCGATTAACCAATAAAAAACAAATCAGACTTTGCAAAGAAATAAAATACACGGTAACACATACAAACACACAGAGTAAAATCCC